CTTACTATATTATATAAGAAGATATAAGAATAAAAATTATATTTATAGGTAAAGATTTTATTATGATTATAGATAAACTAGAAATAAAGATAATTATAAAGAAAAGTAGAATAATATAGAAACAATACTATAGTAAGAAAGTATAATTATTTATCTTAGATCTTATATATATTAATAAGAATCTTATTAATTAATTTATTACCTATAGGTTTATAAATAATATTAGATATAGCTTATATTATTAATTAATATAAATACTTTTAGATATTAAACACCCTCTATTTATATTATAAAAATATAAGAACTAGTAAATTATAGATATTAAAAAACTTACTAAGTTTATTACTAAAAATATATAACTCTAATTACTAAAATAAGCTATCATAGATTAGCTAGGATTGGAATTTAGTATATTTCTATAGATAATCTATATTATAATTAAGAAATATATTCTATAGGCTATATTCTTCTTATAGATATAACTAGGCTTTAATACTAATTATTAAAAAGCTATAAAGAAGGTAAGATATTTTAAGAGGATATAGAGCTAGTTCTATTAATTAAATAACTAGATAATATATATAATTATATATAATTAAAAGGTAAAGCTTATTAAACAATAACTATATTCAGTATACTAGTAAAATATATAGTAAGCTATAGAAAATAGATCCTAGGGATTTTTGTAACTAATAAAATAAGTATATAATTATATTAGTATATATATAAAGGGTATTATATTATTACTAAAGCTACTAAAAGAAGACCTTATAGGTATATTAGAAGCTAAAACTAAAGTCTTCTAAAATATCTTCTTCTCTATATCCTTAGAGCCTTATCTAATTAATATTAATAGATATAAATACCTAGAACTACTATTTTTTCTAGAAACTATAAAATATAAGATTGAAGAGATAGTAATTAATATACCTATAGATAAGGTTCTTAGAGGAGACCTAATCCCTAATTTCTTCTAGTACCTAGCTATAAAGATTCTAATAGTATTAGATATACTTTATAAGCTATTTAATATTTATATATAGTTTAATTATAACCTATTATACTTTTAATAATTAATTACTATTGTACTATATAAAAAAATAACTATAATTACTAAGTATCTAAGTTATACTAATTAGTAGTATTATTAAATATTTTTAGAAAATATATAGAAGCTATTATTATATAAAGAGTTAGTTTTTCAGTAAGAAGATATAGTTTATTATTAAAAGATTATATTAATAGGAAATATAGGATTTCTATTAACTATATAATATAAATCCTAATTAATAAAGTATATCAAACCTAGGAAAAACAGAATAGAGTATTAGATATCTTATATATATAATTACTTTATAATCTATAGAGATAGTACTTAGGATATCTAGTGCTATAAGTATAGGTCTTTTTTATAGATTATAGTATAAAGATCTAGATATATTATAAGGATTACTATTATTCCCGATTCTATACTTCTTTTATAATATAGACCTACTAGAAGTCTATACTATAGAGGGATTAATTACTAGCGGCTAGGTAGATAATATAGTAGGTAAGAGTAAGACTTAGAATATAGTAATCTTACAAGAAATCTATACTAAAATATAACTATAGGCGTATAGATATACTTCTATAATTAATATAAAGAAATATTTACTACTTTGTTTTATATATCTAGAGTTTATAAAGCCTAAACTTATACCTTTTTTTTTTTTTCTTCTAGATATAGATATAGAACCTTAGAGTCTATCTAGTAACCTAATCACTATATTAGTAGTTACTAAACTAGTTAAATATCTAGGCTTCTAGCTTAATTAAGAACTAAGCTTTAATTTCTATCAAGTTAAAGCTATAGAGAAGGTAAATAAGTTCTTAAAAACAATATAGAGCCTCTTAGACTTAATATAGAGCTTATTAATAATAGTTATATACCGAATCTATCTAGTAATAGTACTATTATAGATATTATATAAGATATTAGTATAGTAATAACTATAAACCTAGGAATAAATAAGAAAGCTTATAATACTATTTAACTCTATTTAAGAATATATTATATATCTAATCTCTAATATCTTCTATACTACTATACTTATAACTTTAGAAGCTAAGCTATTTTTACTACTAATATAGATCTAGATCGATTAAATTAAGAAGGAGATAGCTATATAGATTTATATAGGCCTAATCTTTACTATTTTAAAGTTTATAATTATAAAGAAAACTTCTTAATAGTATTTCTATAGATAGATACTCTTAAAGGAATAAACCTAGTAGAAGGGTAAATATCTAATAGCTCTCTTAGAAGCTAATTTAGTAGGATATAAATAGGAGAGTTAGAAGGTATTTATCTAGGAACTATAGTAAATACTACTAAAGATATCTATTAAGAATAGAGATACTATAAAGAATATTTATTAATAAATAATTACTTTTAAAAACCTAATACCATTAATTATCTATATAGATAGTTCTAGCTATAAAGGTAAGATTAGAATAGCTATATAGATAAATACTATTTGTAAGGGAAGTAGCTTTCTCTAGAGCTAGATAGTTAAATTAGAAATAATAATAGTCTATAGGATAGAATATTATAGCCTAAAGATAGCAATAGAGTTAATCTAGAAGAGAACATGGAACTTGTAATTATTTTATAACTTATACTAAAGAATTATCTCTATAGGTTATAATCTTTTTAGACTCCTAGGTAGTACTCTTAGTACTTTACTATCTATAAATATTATCTAGCTAATATTTCCTCTACTCTATCCTTAAGATATTATATATTCTTACTAATATAGATATTAATATTAAGTTCTATTAGATTCCTATTTATATAAAGATTTTTAATAATAAGGAAGTTAATAAGCTAATTAAAAGAAATTATAATATTTATTAGATATATAGCTAATTATAATTATAATACTATATATATAATTATCTTAAATATAGCTATTAAGACTTATATTTAGAAGGAAGTAAAAGAAATATAGAAGAAGAAGTAGAAAAGGATAAAAATAGTAAAAGTAATATAGTATCTAATTAAGCTATTAAATAAACAGATTCTAGAATACTAGTAAAAGAAATAAAAGGCTATAATATTAGTAATAACATAACTATATATAAGGAAGATAGCTATAGTAGCTTATTTTATAAAGATTAATATCTATAATATACTATAATATAAGTATAGCCTTAGAAATTAATTAGTAAGATATATCTTACTAAAGTATAAACTCTAGATAGATAAGAGATATATAATAAGTCTTAAACTATATAAGAAAAGCTTTAACTAGTTAATACTAGATATACTTCTTATAAAAGAGGAAGTATCTAATATTATAATAGATTTTATCTTTACTATAGGTATACTAAGCTAGTTCTATACTATTAATCTAGAGACGACCGGGCAGAAGTTAGTAAATACTGCAGATATAGGTAAATAAAAGTAACATAGGATAGTATATTAATAAAGATAAAGAGGGTATCTGAAGAGGTATAGCTCCGGTTAGTTATATCTTCTTAATATCAAAAGAACTTAGTTAGTAGATAGTTTTTATAAAGGGGATTTATTATACAGCGGGCTTAGTACTAGGAACTTATCTAGTTGATATAAGGAAATCTATAAGGTATAGTAATATAATATCTTAGCAATCTTAGTGGTTTAAGATCTCAGTAATATAAGGAAGCTAATAGAAAGTAGAAAGAAGAAGTATAAGTAGGAAATAGTTTATAGGGTAGAGCTATAAGAGATAAAGCTTAAGGGCTGCAAGCAGTAGGTAATATAGGATCTTGAAAGGAAGTTCGGCTGCAGCGTAGTGATGCATGTCGTCGGGAGATTACCGTTATATTTAGTATATTTAGTATGTTCGTTTATGTTCGTTTATGTTTGTTTATTTACTATATTTGTATACTCTTTCTGTATTTCCTTTATCGATATTATATTTACTTCGCTTATTTAGTAACAGCAAACAACTTAGATATACCTTTCAGGTATGCTTAGATATGCCCAAAGCCTAAGCCCGGCGCTGGCGTTATTCTTCTTAGCTATAGCTGGTCTAATAGTAACCCTAGCATAGCCTACGAAGTAGGCTACAGCAGGTTAATGACTTCTACTACTACTACTACTACTACTACGACTATCTATATTTTAGGTAGAAGTAATATAGTATAACTATATAGAGAAGACTCAGGACAGGTATATTTGTATTATCTATATATTTATATAGTTTAACCTACTCTCAGATATAGATTAATTAGATAATTACCTTAGAGAGTGGTATCCGCCTATATGTATATAGTATAGCTCTCTCTCTTCTTTCCCTTTCCTCAACGTTGTTATTCGTTGTTCTTCGCACCTTCTTCATTCTGGTAGATCATAGGCACCTCATCACATTACCCACCCAAACTGCCAGGCCTACGAGTCAAGTCCACTCGTATAACCCCTTAAGGATAGATTTCTCAAAAAACCTATACCATGATATCTGTCATTGCACGGTCTACCAAGAAGGGTATTATCTATAGGATATGAGAGGTGTAAAAGAATGTATTCTGTAGCTATCCCCAAGATAATAGTACTATATAATATACGAGTTCTAGGTGGTCGATAAGGGTGAAGTTTCGGCAGCAGGATGGACCAATTCTAGTCGGTGAGGTGTATTCCCCGCTACAATATACACATGTGTATAAGCGTATATTTGAAACTCATATGTAGTAGTGAGGAGAACCTTCATTTTATTGCCTCGTCTTGTCAGTTATTTTTATAAGATAGACCTTTCTTGAATCGCACCCCATTACAATTGACGACCCCAATACGGCTGAGCACCATGGTCTAAACTCTTCTGGGAGCCAAAGTAAATTACTACCATGCCAGGTTATCCACCGCTTGTCTTTACTTATTCCTGGACCCACGCAGTCGTTGTTATTTTCAAAAGGGTTTGGGCCCTTTTCACACATCTGGCCATATCTTCTTGCAAGCAAGCCTAAATGACCTAAAGTTTCTAGATCTTGGCGAGAAAAAGGAACTCGTTCACGTAAACAACCGATGTTAACTTTTAGATAGCTTTCGTCGGTATCGTAGTTTCGTGTATCATTTAATGTGCGTATTTCAAATGCTTCGTTATGGGTTTCTAACGAGCCATATTCGTATGACAAACTGTTCTGGGAGCCACTTCTGTTTTTATCCTCAAACGCTTGATGAATATCGAATGTATCAATTGACCAGATGCGAACTGTTTTGTCATCTGAGGCCGATGCAATGCGGTTTGACTCGTTCGATAGTGAGACTGAGGTTACACCGCGACGATGCCCATGAAGTGCTTGCTGCAACTCATTCGTACGTGTCGACCAGACCCGGATTGACATATCGAGTGAAGCCGAAGTGAGGAACGTCGAGTCACGCGAGAGTGTGACTGAGGTAACAGCTCCTTTATGACCATTTAACGTTAATGCGAGATCACCAGTATCGGCTGTCCAGAGTCGAACTGTACAATCGTATGAACCTGACGCGATAATCTTTGAGTCATGTGAAAATACAACTGACGTTACAAGGCTGTTATGGCCAATAAGAATGCGCTGCAGCTCGCCTGTACTAGTCGACCAGATGCGAATTGTCTTGTCATCTGAAGCAGATGCAATGAGCCCCGAGTTGTGTGAAAATGCGACTGAATTAACAGTGTCCTGGTGCCCCTCCAACACCTTTTGCAGCTCACCTGTATCGGCAGACCAAATTCGGACTAACTTGTCATTGGAGGCTGATACAATAAGTTTCGAATCATGTGAAAATACGGCTGATAAAACGACATCGCTGTGCTGAAGTATTCTCCGTAGTTCACCCGTCGCGGTCGACCAGATCCGAGCCGTCTGGTCATCTGAAGCTGAAGCAACGAGTTCTGAATTATGCGAAAACACAACCGACCTGACAGGTTTTCCATGGCCTTTGAGTGTTCTATGCAACTCACCAGAGCTAGCCGACCAAATTCGGACTATTCTGTCCGTTGATCCAGACAAAACAAACTTCGAGTCGTGGGAGAAATTGACCGAGGTAACTGAGTCTTTGTGTCTGTCAAGGGTCAATTCATATCGGCCCCATCCACTGTCAGCTCCATCAGGAAGAAGGGAAATCCAGTTAGGATGTTCTTCCAAGAACGAGTTTTTTACAATGCTTGTTTCTGGGGCAAATATGAGGGCTGAAAAGTACACCTGCAACGGTGCTAAGTTGATGGCCGATGCGTAGGCGAGCAAAAAGTGGTGAGAATCAGTTACAAATCTTTTCAACTTGGCATCTCTTTCTGTCTGCCACTTATACGTTAGCTAATGTGCAGTGCAATTAGGCTAGTAAAAGCTTACTTCGAGCAAAGACAGTAATATCTCTATACAGGTGATGCCTTCTGAGATCCTACCTAGAATGCTTAAAGCCTCGACCCAATGGAGAAAATGATCAAGGAGGAATTTATGAACCAAGGTAACATCGTAGATGTATTGACATCCTTCCTTGAGGTGGTACGTCCAGAACAGGCAGGCGTATTGAAGTTCAGCGGGAAGGCGTTCTTTTATTACCTCGGGGTCGATTCTTGAGCGAGATGCTCCCGCCCATTTCAATTCACAACTGTCTTTTGAAAGGCGGTCGTTCATTACCCGGAGACAGTGTGTTGCTAGCTTTTGGTGAATTTGCTTCCGGTCTACCCAAAAGGGATTTTGAATCCGATTTTCGGAATCCAACAGGAAGTCGCTAAAGGAAAGATGGAATAGACGCACAGGAGACTTAGGTGTCATGGGGATAACCAGAACCGAGTGAAGCAGATCGAGTCTATCATCGATAATGACTTGAGATATGTCTAGGAGCGCTGCTAAAGCATGCGTGGAGAGCGGGTTTGCGAGAAGAACTATTGAGCCGACAATATTTCGAAAATGCTCAATCGTTGTACGTCTTTCGTGGATGGATAATCCAGCGAGCTGTTGCTCTAAGATAGGGAGATATGTAGCCTTAAGCTTAGTACCAAGACTTTTTGTTTTGTGTTCCAGGATCATATCAAGTTTCCCCTGCGGGCTCCCTGTTTTCCGATCTGCAAGGAAGCGGCATACAGTCGCAGCAAAGATAAAAAGAGGATCTGCCATGTCCACGATATTATGAATGTCAGAAGGGACAGGCCAACTTGCTGGAAGTCTTCGATTCTCGGTCACGGAAGGATTAAACTGATTCCGAATCTTTTTGAACTCGTGCTCTAGAAAAATCTCTATGTCATTCTTAATGACATGGGAAGGAACTTCGTCAAGGGTCAAGTCCCGATATGCCCCATTAACAGTGTTCAATCCAAGACGAATCGGCAACTCGAGTCTGCTGGTGGTTAAAAATCGTAAAAGTTGCAAATTTCGCGCGGTTCTTGGACTGCAGAATAGTTCAATCAATAGTTTAATGTCATCTTCGTCGTCGCACTCATCCAACGCATCAACAACGATGATGAGTGAAGGTTGATTCTCTATGGCCCGGGCTTTCGATAATGGTTCGAGAATCAATTTGTTGAATTGTTCTCGTATCGACTTCTGAGTGATCCTGGGATCCATCCTGACAGCATCTTTGACATATGGCACTAGGGCTGGTTGATTTTCTACAAGCTGTATGGTAATCGTAGTAATAAGTCTAAGTGCTCTACCTCGATCACCTTCGCCTCTTCTGAAGAAGAAGCTAGCAGCGAGAAGACCGAGCGTCGCAAACGAACGAGCAGCAGTACGGGCTATTGTCGACTTTCCTGTACCGGCCTTTCCACTCAGCAAAAGCATAGGATCAGCACGGCAATCCTCGCTCCATTGAGATATTTTCTGTAGAATATCGACTCGAGTCTGCGGGTGGCATGTAGGATTGTGCGCTTCTGCATGGGAATCAAAGGACGCCCCTTCAGCGACTTGAAGGTTCCCAATGATAATATATTGACCAAGATGAGATGTGTTGCTATCGAGTTCTAGAAGAAGGTTTCTAATGAATGCCAGGTCAGCAAGTGCTACAAATAGTCCATTGCCGAAAACATACGCTTGGTCGATCTGCAAGGCTGTCCATATGGCTTGTGTGCATTTTTCGAGGTCTCGGGTTAATTTTTCTATCTTCCTTGCTTTGAATGGCCATGTGAAAGCATGATATAGGATACGGCCGATAGCCGTCTGTGTCCCACTCTGGTTGAATTCGCGCTCGAGTATCTGAAGTTGCGCATGAATATCTCGGAAGGGGACATGCAACTTGTGAGACGTCTTTAGTTTCTCGTTATTCCGTTCTTTGAGGAGCTGTTGGGCAGCTTTGGAGATCTCGGCCACACAGTGGAGCTGGTTATGTAGTCGACTAATGTCATCTCTCGCGCTTTTCACCGTATTACCGTACTGACCAAGTAATGAGACTATTTGGCTAGTCAACTGAATGACTGCTATAACACTGGCGGCCACACCTAATTCTGCCATTTACTTGCAAAAAATGGGCCTGGTGCCTGGATTGTTGGTGATGGATCTTCGTGCTGGGGAGGTTGCGGACCAGGAGATCGCAAGTGGGGTGAGGCTGTCTACCCCTCTTCTGCTTTCTGACTAGCGCAAATCTGACTTGGTTTCCAGATGGTGCGACTACTGTTCATGTAATCTTGACAACAATTTCTCATAAGAGCGTTGGTTCGTCACCAGTCCAGAACACATCGCGCTTACAGTGCTAATACCTTTGGCAAAACGTGATAATTTCGCAAATATCACCCTCACTAACGCTACCATTCAACCATAGCCCCGAAGATATTATCCTGCGAAAAGTGATTCTTGGCCAAAGGTTTAATAAAATGCCCCAAAGCCCCGAACAAGATGGTAAGTGTATGTGTTTCTTATTCTTCTTCTTCTTTCCTTCTTTTGGCTTAACGTTTCCTCTCAAATGGTCCTAATAACCCATCTATGGGGTGCAGGAACTACCGACCCTTTCGAGCCGGATGTGGATGAGGGAGAACCGATGCCAAAAACAAGGGCGGTCCAGATGGATGTACCTACAGATCCCATTAGCGAGCCCATCTTAAAGATTTATTTGGGAGAACCCGGTGCTTCGGATATCATACAGAAAATGACAGGGGTTGAGTTACATGTGGTAGATAAGGTGCGACATGTTTGTCTGCAGAATGGTATCAGGGTGGTTCCAACGCCTTACATGCGTATTAATGGCTTCACTGAGAAGGGTATTGATGAAATATTCACACCATTACCGAGCGATTTAATAGGAACTGCCCTTAGATCAGGCACTTTGTTCAAGAAAGAGAAGGCGGGAGAGTCATTTTCGCGCTCAAGCGTATCATTCATCGTTCCAGAAGGGCACGATGCTGATATTATCATGGAGCTTACACTGGGTCGCGAGCTGGGTGATAAGGTCCAAAAAACGTTGTTTACATGAATCTGCACTTTAATTCATGTGCGCTGGTGCCTGGTATCTCGATCGCTTTAAGAAACTAATTTTCATACAAAGAAAATTTCAAGAAAAACCATTTGATCGCTTAGATGACAAAGCCGTGAACGCAAAATAGTTATATTCTAGTAATATGACTCAGAGAGACTGTTTATCCTGACACTGATGAATCGCATTAGGAGCGCTATCCAGGTCCATGTTGCTAACGATCTGCGGATGCCTTGATGCCTTATCGACGATTATACAGAAGTTCCTCGAGAGCTCCGATATACGAAATACGGAAGGCAATCCTATCCGTTTACGGGATCGTTCTACATGAACAGTACAGCAGCGTACACCGCAAGTTCATAAGGATTCCGTCTTATTATCGTACTTAAAGGTAAAGCCATATAATAAAGTATATGCTTATACTTCATGAAACTTGTTCTATTAAATCTCTTCAAGCTTTATATTTACTCTTCAAAGGATAGAATAGAAAAAATAGATATTATAGCAAACCAGTGGCTTTTAGACTCAAAAGCCTCAGGTAAATTCCTAATGGGTTCTTACTCACCTCTCATCACCCTCATTACCCCCTATCACTACTATTCTTATCTATATCACCAGCACTCACCCCAAGATATTCCACAGGACCGTTTTACTACTAAGAGTATCACAGGATTCCTAAATCCCCTCAAGTACGACTCAGGTACGATTTATAACTATTCTATAGGTGAATCTATCTCGATATACCTACTTATATATAACTGCCCTAAGCCCCAATAATATAAAAATATATAAATAATAGCTATAATTCTTATTCTATAAGAATTAGTCTATATATTAACTATTCTTCTTAATCCCTACTATCTAATATCCTTATCTAATTATAGATCTCTAGTATAATAGTTACTAAGTTGTCAGGCTAGAGACCTGTGACTAGGTAAGGATATCGGATAGTAGAGATCAAATAGAATAGTTGATATATAGACTGATTCTTATTGAATAAGAATCGTAGCTACTATTTATATGTTTTTATATTACTAGGGCTTAGGACTGTTATATATAAATAGATGTATTGAGGTAGATTCGCTTATAGAGTAGCTATAAATTGTACTTAAGTTATACCTAAGGGGATTTAGGAATCCTATAATAATTTATCTTTCCTTTTTAATAATAGTTAACTTAATTATCTATATAGCTTATATTTAATTAGATAATCTATATAGAGTAGTATTATATTAAATAAAGCTTCTAGGACTAATACTATCTTAGATGTTTTTATATATAGATATAAATAAAGTAATATAGTTTTTTTAATATCTTTAAGATAAGAGCTTCTCTTCTATCTCCTTAATTCTTATCTTTTTTTTCCTCTTGACTTTTGACTTTCTATTTCTTCTCTCTTTACTTTTATTTTATTTCTTTTTTAATATATCTAATACTACTATTACTAATACTTCTGGTAGTCCTTCTTACTAAAATAGTTATTATATAATAAGAGATAAAGGTTAGGCTAGAGGTAGAGATAATAATAATAGTAATAGAGATAATAGGATTAATAGGGGTAATAGGAGTATTACTAGTATTTCTACTAGTTTATATCCTCTTTATAATTAAATTATCTATTCTTTGTTTATATTCTATATTAAGTATATTACTAAAATAGCTTTTTACCCTTCTATAGATACTATTCCTAAAATTAGATATAACTAGGATTATATAAACTTAATTACTTATACTTTATATAAAAAGTATAGTAAGAATTACTTTTAAATAAGGTTTTTCTCTAAGTTATATTTAATTTAGTACTAATTTATTTTAGATATCTTATAGAATTTATAGTAATTTATATTAACTTTAATTAATTCTTAACTAGATATATAAAGTTTAAAATAATAATACTACTATAGTAGTTATTAGTAATACTATACTAGCCTAGGATAAAGAAAATAAAGCTATAACTATAAAGAGATCTACTTGTCTCCTAGTATCTTTTCAAAAGATAATCTCTATTTTAATTTATAGAATATAGACTAAGCTATAGGGGGATATACTATATTTATTATTAAATAATAAAAGGAGTTAAATCTTAAGATTAGTTTATCTTTTACTAAGTCTCTTAGCTATTCTAATAATTTTTTATATCTATAGATTAATAATACTAGTTTTACTCTCTAGTAAAATAATATTTAATCCTTTTTTGTAAAGATTATAGTAGGATATTAATATAATATAACTTTAATAATAATTAATTTATCTCTAGCTATAATAATAATTATTACTAATATTAAGATACTTATACCTTAATATAGAATTCTATAATAGTTTTTTATTCTTTATCTTACTTATTCTTCTTCTTTTTTTTAACTAAGTAGTCTTATTCAGTATAGTTTTTCTTTATCTAATATTAATTTAAAGATATTTTAAGGGGGTTTTAAAGGGTTTATAGTATTATTATAATATTATTTTATAAGCTTAGTTTTTCTTAAATAAAACTATTATATCTCTTATATTTTCTAAGTATTCTACTAGTTCTTATTAATTATATTCTAAAGACTATCCTATTTATTTTATATAGTAATATAGTACTTTATTAAAGACTCTTTTATTTTAGATCTCTTTAACTTCTTATTTTTCTTATCTTTAAGTTCTAGTATTAGTATCTATAAGTTATTATTATTTTAGCTATTCTATAATTGAAGAAGAAAGATAGAGAAGATATTATATAATCTTAAGTATTTTTCTAATAATATAATATAATAAGTCTAAGTACTAATTTTTATAAGAATATAGAAAGATCTAATTTAATAGGGAGATAGCTTCTTTTCTTTAGCTTTAAAATAAAGGTTTTTTATTAAAAGAAATATAAAGGTTTTTAGTTTAAAGTTCTTTAGCTTATAGGTTTTATTATAGGATTTCTATTATATTTCTTATATAATTTAAAGCTTTTTTATAGTCTCTTCCTAGATATTTTAAAGGTAATTTATTTATTTTTTAGTATTAGAAGTCTTCTTAAGTATTTTATTAGAAGTTTAGATTTAGAAATTAGGATTATATCTAAGTAATATATAAAAAAGAATTTTATTATTTAATATATTAATAGTATTATTATATATAAATTATACTATCTTAAAGAGTTAAGTTTAGTTTAATTATTCTTTATTAATAAAATATCTAAGATAATCTTTTAAAATCTAGTTAAATCTTTTTATTTATCTATTAGTTTAGAGATAAAGAGATAAAATATAATAAAGAACTATAGTTAAATCTTAGAATAATAATAAAGTTATAACTAGAATCTATTTATAAAAATAAGCTTTTAATTAAAAATAATTCCCTTTAGATTTCTATATTTAAGTTTAATTTAATTAAAAAAAAGTTTAATAAGATTTCTTATAGATATTATTATTAATATAAAAAGGAATTAAAAGAATTTTATAAATTAATAAATAATTATTTGAATTATATTATATTTTATTCTTTTAAAGATTATAATTAGAAGTCCTATAATAAAATCTATATTTAGTTTTATAAATAGTCTATAAGATATAAGAAAGGATTAAAGTTCTTTATAAAAATAATATCTAAATATTTTAATATATTCTTATATATTTTTTAATAGATATTCCTAATAAAATTTCTTTTTTAAAAGTTTTTCTATATATATTCTTCTAAAATATCCTATAAATTATTTATTATAATAGAGTTTAATTAACTTTTATTTTAAATTTCTAGTAATAGGGATATAGAGATATTTCTTATAATATAAAAGTTTCTTAAAGTTAATACTCTAATACTTTTCTTATAATATATTTTTTTTTAAGTTATATTAATTTTCTTCTTAACTATTTTATCTTTATCTTAGAGTTTTTTAAATCAATAATTCTAGTTTTATTAGGGATTTATCTATAAATAGATATTTATTTATAATTTTTATAAATACTATTTAAAAGAATATAAATTAAAAGTAATTTAAAATCTTATAATATATTATATTATAGTCTTAACTTAAGGAAACTTAATTATATTATAATCTTAACTTAAGAAAATTTCTTTATTATCCTTTAGATCTAAATAATTAGTTTTACTAGACTTATTTATAGCTTCTCTTAGATTCTCTTAATCTATAGGAATAATAGTATTATTTTAAATCTAGCTTAGCTCTAACTCTAGATTATTAACTAAATTATTTATAATTAGAAAGAAGGATAGTAATAAACTTCTATAAATTAATATAGTTATAATTATTAATCCCTACTTCTCTTTATTTCCTTTTCTAAATATTACTATATTAATAGTAAACTACTATACTATTATAAATAATTTAATTATAATTCTCTTATAAATTAGTCTTAATATCTTCTTTATAAATAGAGATATCTTTTCTTCTAGAATATAGAATAATCTATTTATAGGATTAGTCTTTTTTAAATAATAATATATTATAAAATTAAATAAAATAAAGAAAAGATATTAATATATTTATCTTTTATTAATCTTAGATTAATCTATAAATAACTTTAAATTATAGTAATCTATTAAAATCTTAATCTAATAATAACTTTCTTTAAGATATAAATATTAGTATTTAAATAAGTAAATAATTATAAATAACTCTTAATCTAGTATTATATAATTCTATTCTATAAATAAGAATTTTTTTAACTAGAAGATAATAGAATACTATATCTTTTAATTATCTAATTATAAAAGGATTCTATCTATTCTGAAACCTAAAGTATTAGTCTTAAATTAAATAGATCTTTTTAGATTAAAATATTATAAAAGAGAAATAGTTAAAAAGATATTAATTAGATCTTAAAATATTTTTAACTTATAGTTATTTAGCTTAATATTCTTTAGTTTTTTCTTATCTTTACTTCTTTTAAAAAACTTTATAAATAATAATAAAATTAAGAAGTATTTTTTAATAAATCTTTAATAGAAGTTATAAAATCCTAGAAAGACTTAAATCTCTCTATAGAATATAGACTATTTCTATTCTT